GAAAATGAAAAATGAATACCAAACACAAAAAAGTCAAACATAAAAAATAAAAGTCACATTTATTTAAATAAAAATATACACACAGTGTACAATGGATATGGCTTACATACAGCAACCAAACAAAAATGGTAGTTCCGGAAGTATAAAGATAGAAGGAGCTGGGGCTTCAGTTTCTCTGAATAAATACACATTGTGGGCTAAAGCCTGTAGTCCTGCTCATACGAGTAGTCACATTGACTAAAGAGAGCAGGATTTGGCCATTACAGTTACACAAGAATAGCTACACAAAAGGAAAACAAGTACCATAGTAACCTGTGATTATACAATTAACTTTCACAAACATTTGAAAATCATGCTGCTCTTCATCTAATTTTAAAGCACATATAGTAAAACTATATGCATGTAAAGTGGAAAAATTACAAACACCACCACCCAGATGCTAATCCTCACTCACGCTAAGGGAAGGCAATCTGAGCTGCACTGTCACAACCCCCCCCCCACCTCCCAAAAAAACAAACAAGCCCCCCACTCACTGCATTACCTTGCCCCATCACCATTCTTCCCTCATACACTTCTGGTGTTTTCTGTATGTGCTCTTTGGAATTTGGGTATGTGATTTCACAAATAAGGGTTTTTTAAGGTCCTGATTCCCAAGCTTGTGTGAGTGAATGCAATTTTTCAGTCTTGGATTTTTGGTAATATACTATAGGCTCCTTTTAATTTGCTACATTACTTATTCAGAAGATTGTGTTTGGCGAAAGGAAAAAATAAAGGTATTTTAGAATTTATGACCGTTTTAGAGCATATGCTGCATCGTCTAGCATCACAAAGCAAACAACAGTTGATGTGTTAATCAGGGGTTTTCATACTTTTGTATTGGTGACCCCTTTCACACAGCAAGCCTCTGAGTGCGACAACCTCTTCTGAATTAAAAACATTTCTTTATATTTAACACTATTATAAATGCTGGAGGTGAAGCAGGTTTGGGGGTGGAGGCTGACAGCTCCCGACCCCCTATGTAATAATCTCGCGACCCCCTGAGGGGTCACAACCCCCAGTTTGAGAATCTCTGTGTTATATGATGAAAGAAAAACAGAATACCAATCAATACTCTAGGCTACTGGAAAACCATTTCTCTTGTATATGAGGAAGCAGTTTTGTGATGATTTTTAAAATATTTGATCTTCCAGATCCATTTGATTTTTCCCTTTTAAACAATAATCAATTATGTAAAGCTTCTTTTTTTCAGCAATTGGAAACATCTGCTTGAATGCACAGCTCTTTTTAAAAACTACAAAATAACAAAAGGCAAGATGCAATTCATATCTGATGGCAATGACAATACAACATGCTCTCTCTTTATGGCAAAAAAGCATAAATATAGAAATTAATGGGTTTAAGTTCATAGCAGAGTCACCTGATGTGAAATAATTCTAAAATTGCCTCAATCAAGTAACTTTTTTATGTTGAATTTTTTCAGTGTAATCTTTAACAATTACACCTTATGATGTTTAATATGTTCACCACTTTGAAAGAATTGATCACAGAATTTCTCAAACCATCTCTTAAAACTGAAAATAAAAATCAACTTATTTCCTGAAGTATAATAAGAGTCACACTATATGCTAACAAATGTAAACACATGACGTTCTGCACTTCTTTGCAGCCAGGCACCTAAAACATCAGTGGTGATTTAGCATATTGCCAGCCAGGCTTTAATTTGCTTTAAATAACAATTTTGGTTTGGATTGATTTGTGTGGATTTAAAGAGGGCCCAATATATATATATTTTATTGTTTCCTGCTTACAACTGAAGCCAAAAATCCGGACATTAAAATTCATAGTGCAAAGAACTTTTACTGATGCTGCTTTTGTTGGCTTCAGCCTGCTCTTTATATTGCTGGTTCATTACAGTACATGTATTGCTAATGTTTCATCAACATACACAAAATCATATAGACATAATGAGACAATGGAATTACAAATGTTCTCTATATTCTAATAATTTCATAAAAGCTAAACTATAAACAATAAATATTAAAAGTATATTCTTACCAAACTCCCCGAAAGAAGAACGCAGAAGAAAAGACCTGCCTGTATGACAATATGTCAGACCTATGCATATATTGAAGAATAGAAGTTTTACAGATATCACTGAGAAAATATTACATTAAGGTTGAATTTAGCTTTTCCCTTTTCTTACAATTTAAACTGGTTTTTTACTTCCATGCTAACCTATAGTACAAAAATTACACAAGTAGATAACCAGTGCGCTATGCAAACATTTAATGTGGGTAGCACTTTTGCTCAAGTTTCACTGAGTCAAATCCTGCTGATCTTATTTAAGCAAGTAGTACCAGTGACTTCAGCGGGACTAGTCACATGAGTAAGGCAAGCAGAATTTGGCCTTAAATGCCAGATACACTTCAAACGTGGCTGTTTTCTATCCCTTGAAAGACTGGCTTTCAAAATAGAAGCTTTCATTCCTTACAAAAGTTTTTACAGTGCAAAGTCTGAACATTGTAGTGACTCTGCCATTAAGAAAAGTCAGTTCTCTTCAATAATACATTAGCAAATGGTACAGTTTGCTCATGAAAATCAATTTGCTCAGAATTACTTCTCCAATATGCATTCGGAGCCCTCTGTTAATCCTTCAAGTGGTGTGCGGGGCTTTGGGAAGGCCCTCCATCCTAATTGGTATGTTGTAGTTGGTAACAGCAGCAAAGGATTATTTGTATTCATAAAAATCCAGGCTGAAGAATATTTAGTTTTGCATCCATGATTAGCTGACAACTCAGTTTTGGAGACAGATCCTCAGCTTTTGTAAATTGTCATAGGCCCATTGCAGTCAATGAGCCTGTAACAATTCATACCAGCTCAAGATCTACCCTGTGAAATCTAAGTCAGAGGAAATATTTCAACAGAAAAGGGTTTTTCAACATTGAAGTAGCAATGTGTATGCTTATATACTTGAAGCTGTGCCAGCATGTTTTCTGTGGGTCTTTGAATCTGTAAATATTTGTTCCAATCAAAAACTTGGCATGCAAAGCATCTGCCTTGCCTAAAAAAAACAATATTTTTTAAAGACCCAAACACTATTGTGCCCAGTTCTGTTTCACTGCAGAGTATTGTGTGGGTTTTAAAAATATTTGGGGAAACAAACTGGTAATTTAAAAACAACAATTGTGGGTGATTTTCAAGGTTAAAAATATATATAAAAATAATGTTTATTACAGCAATTTAAGCCCTTGTTTGCACATGACGCATATAGCTTCATTGTTTAAAATGACATAATTAAACACAATATGATCAGGGTGCAGTAGTAATTCAGAGTCAAAATGTTTTTAAAATGTCCCAACATTATGATTTAAAATCTAGAGACAAAGATCTTGAAACATTCCTTTCCCTTTCTATAGAATTTCATATGGATGAAGTCAGTGGGGTTGTAGGTAAATTACTCAAAAACCTACAGAATTTAACAGAGAATGATACCCCTGCCATAGAAATTTGCAGATTGGTTTTAAAATACTATAAAAAGCTTATATTCTCCAGTAAATTCTATAGGATTGTTTTATGGAGATACATGAGAAATGCAGGCTCAAGCCCCTAATGTATATATTCAGTAACTTTTTTTTAAACTGTAAACATAACAAAAAGAATGTTGAGATCACAGCAAATGTGGCAGCTAGACTGACAGGATAGATTGTAACATTCCTAGGAAGACTTTGGTTCAATAAATCTGAATTAAGACTTTATATGGCTCAGTTCTGTAATGGTTAAAAATCCATATACAAATACTGATTTATAAGTTAGAATGCAATGGCTAACTCCATTAGTAAATTATATAGTATTGAAAGGAATGCAAGCCCTTCAGTTCACATCTGACTGATTTTATCTCCATAGTGTATTTATGGAAGATGCTGTGACAACTGCAAAAGGCTCTTTGTGGTCTATTGGGTATTTAATACACCTCTACCTCGATATAATGCTGGCAGGAGCCAAAAAATCTTACCGTGTTATAGGTGAAACTGCATTATATTGAACTTGCTTTGATCCGCCGGAGTTAGCAACCCTGCCCCCCCGGAGCGCTGCTTTACTGCGTTATATCCAAATTCGTGTTATATCGGGTCGCATTATATCGGGGTAGAGGTGTATATAATAAAAGAAAAATCTAAATACATATCCAATGATCGACCAAGACAGTGCCCAAGAAATCATACGTATGAGTAAATCATAAAAGTACCCAAATATTATTTAAATGTCAGTATTACCTGCTTTGAACAAGCTGTTCCAAATTCACTGAGAACGTTTGTAGCATGGGTGAAATCCTGGCCCCACTGAAGTCAATGGGAGTTGGGGCCAGGATTTCACCCCCATATGTTTAATAATTATTCAAAGGCCTGATCTTTCAAACATTTAGGAACACGTGTAAATTTTACTCACATGACTGCTCGTTTTCCTCATTACATGTGCATGTTTGCGGAATTACAGTCTTAAATATATATTTTATTAGTACAAATACACATTTACACAACGTATCCCAATGGATTGAAAGGAGCATTTTAGAGTTCATTATGCCCTAGTACTTCTGTGACTTCTATACCAGCAGGGGTGGGTGTGTTAACCACTCTGTCTTGGCCAAATTCCGATTTTGGTAATTACACTTTGCCTATGGTATCTTAAATTTCCAATGTCGTTTTACTCGAATAAAATTCTTAACTTCCTGCCCTAAATATTTTATCTCCAAAATGAAGGTGCTATACAAACGTCAGTCATCATTGAGTGATTTTATGTTTTGTTTTGTTGGGGTGGAATATAATAAACAGATGTGATTAAAATCCCTGTGATGTCTAGAAGATATATTTAGGAGTGACACAAGCTGGCAAAAGCACTAAAATTCACACTTAAGGCTGAAGAGTATCCTTTGCCTACATATTGCATTATACATGTGATAGAAAATCAGCTAACTAGCCACAACGTAGCAGATTAAGGAGTTATTATTATGCTTATGTTGGGCTCTGTGCTGTATAAAAATTAACAAAACTGTACATGTAAGTAATTCCATCCTAAAGAGCTATGTTGCCTCTAATACATAGGAATCACATCACCCAGTACCAAAATGAAGCATAGAAACACTCAGTAAAGTCTAAGGGGCAAATGTGGGTCACTTTACTCACACCAGTAATCCCTCTGACTCTACTGAGACTAACAAATAAATAAAATGAGTAGGATTTGACTCTAGCATAGAATGCCATGCATAATACATCCAACCGAAACTGCAGAGAGGCAGAATGCAATTACCAAATTACAAACTGTAGTTACTAAAATTACATTATGTAATTACCAAACTTCAAATTACAATCTGCAATTACCAAGCTTCTATAGAGAAGCAGAATGTAATTACCAAATTTAAATTTGGCCAACAGACCGAGATTAACATGCCTTGCAAAGAATGCAAGGTGGTCTTTGACCACAAGGGACCAAGATCTCTGTTTTACGCCTGATGCAGAAGACATCACCTCCAGCAGGATGCTGCCACTTCACACACAGTGCTCAGGTATAGCACCAGTACAGACTCACAGTGTCCCCCTATGGACTCACTAACATCAATTCCTGCAGCAATCTGCATTTTCCTTTTTGGTCTTCCATCAAGCTACTTATGAGGCCCAACTCCACTACTTTACGGAATCTGGTTAAATTACAGCCTAGCATTGAGGGCTGTATATACTTGGTTTTGAGAACACTCAAGCATTAATCAGACAATAATTGAGGTTTTCTTTCATAGTAACGGACTACAGTTACTTTAATTTAAAATAGATCCACTGATAGCTGACCAAGATAACTCCTAGTTTTGTTACACACTCCCAATTCATGACACACAAACAGCAATTTTTATATTATCTAATTAGCACAGATGTGTGTTTCTCATTACATTATAAACTTAGGTATCAGTTTTTCCATATGTCCCCTCTGGTGGTCTGTAGTACTTTGGGAAAGCCATCAGCTGTATCATGTTGAATGCATACTTTCTGCATTTGATATTCTTCAGTACATTCTCTATGCGGCATCCTTCTCTGGTGAAAGGGGAAAAAGTACAACTTCATGAAACACAGAATAAATAAATATGTTTTATTTCTTCATTGCAGAGTTTCAGCAACAGTTGAAGTAAAAATAACAAAAGATTCAACTCTACATTTTTTTTCCACAAGTGATGATACATCTTACAAAATTAAATCCAAGGCCAGCCCCAATACAGTTATTGCCCTCAGAAATAGATGATGAGAATTTTATATTTCCCCTTAAGGTTTAATTAAAGTTTAGTAAATTTTTTTAAATAATTTATTTAATTTTACATTTTCACGCTAACTTTAGAAATATACTTGCCTTTTAAATCCTTCACAATATTCCTATACTTTTTACTGTATATGTTAAAGTCTACATGTAGCCCTAAATATGCAGGTTCTAGGAGTAAGGCATTTTATTAAGTCTGGCCCTATAGATTTGTAAAGGAAATTTTCATATCTAGTTTATTTCAGTATGTTTAGCTTTGCAATGAAAAAAAGATAAAATGCCTTTCCAAACAGCCTAACCCAACTCTCTTCTTTACAAAGGAAGGATGCTTGTTCACATACAGTACAAAAGTCACAAGTGCCAAAGTGGTGCATCAAGACACAAACAAGACTTAGTTAAAAATAATATAAAGGTGTCTTGAAAGCAAAAGCAGCAAACGCAACCAAAGCAACAGTTACAAACAGGTTAATTTAATTACAAAACAGAACTCATTCTACCGCCATATAGTTACTTGACAGAAAAGGTTAGTTGAAGCAATGTAGTAACATAACCTATTTGTTAAACAAAACAGAAAATTCCATCAGCGAATAAACAACAATGAAAGTAGCACAATGAAAATTAATCCGACAAACTGTCCCATCCATTATTCTTGGCTCAGGGTTAGTTTGTATTGTGCAAAATCACTTTTGACCTTTTTAATTGATAGACTGAATAGGAGTTTGGAAACCGGGGGGTGGGGTTCAAGCTTTCAGGATCCTGTAATTTGTCCGATATAGAGACACTAATATATATATATATATGATCTTTCTTTGAGCTAGTTAAAGTGGGAAAACTTTGTCATGAACAAAAAGAGGAAATTAACTCACTTAATGCATAGTATACTCTTTAGATTTCAGAAAAAATAAATGAAAGCACTATACAGTTTAGACATTTGTATCCTATAGACAAATCCTGTGGGTCTGAAAATGTAGAAATATTACAGCATAATTCCTTTATTTTTAAGTTAGTTTGTTGCTGTTTGTAGAAAAGAAAGGAACACAAGTGAAGTTTATTGATATTTGGCTAATAGTAAAGCAAGACTTAAGATAAGCCACACAACCAGCAAGTGTGAGCTGACAAGCAGCAAGGCGACAGGATAGAAGTGACGAGAAGTTGGCTTGTTATCAGTTAGACAGCCTGTCTCAGGATCATCCGACTCATTCAGTGCTCCCTGGGTTTGTCTGCTGTTAAACAGGGGAAGTTAGGAACAAATAGAATAGCATTTAAATAGCAAAGAAAGCCAATACTTAGATATTCTGACAACAAAGAGACACTAAACATGGCCAATTGATTTGGCGGATTTATGCTAAATAATTCCAAACATTTTACTCTGTTCTGCACTCAAATGGGAAGCACAATGAACTAGCTAACTTGCTATCTATTATTTTTTTAAAAGCTTTAAAAGTGTGTAAGTGGCATTCACAGGTTAGAGGCTCTTAATAAAAATGAAATGAGCTGGACTGTGACTAAGACAAACACATGAATTGATATGTAGTGAAATAAATGAATAAATGCATGGCTTAGGAAAGGAAAACAAGAACACTGTGTCACAATGTGACACCAGGCAAAGTGGTGTCTCTCTGGTGCTTACATTTTTTTAGTCCACTCCAGCTTCACTATCTGCTTCTTGTACATGTGATCTTTTTGAAACAATTCAATTATTTTTTATGTTTTTGGCTCTTTAAAAATAATTAGAACAAATTTAACTCAGCAGCACAGTTAACTCAACCTTATAAGGTAAATAAATACTGATATCTTTAATTCAAAGGTTAAGGACATTGTACCTTGTTCAGTCAAGTCAACTGTGGGTTAATTTGTACTACAGTGAGGTTCTTCTGAGTCTTTAAAAGTTGTGTAGTCCCTGTATTAGAGCAGTAAAGATACCTGCAAATGACTTTTAAACTTTTCAGTTGTAAAGTTGGTAGCTATTCAAGATATCGTCTATGTAAGTGGAATATGTAGTACGGACACTTTAGCTAAACCCTTCAACCCCATTAAAGTTATATTTGCATGTGCTCAAGACTCCTGGTAAGGGCTTTCCCTTGGGCAAGCATAACTGATACAGTTATAAATGGAATTAGCTCTTTTGCTATCACCAGAGATTACAATTATCCTAACAGCAGTTTCAAGAGAAATGGCTGGATGGTCAAGAACAGCTAGATGTGTCAGATTTCACTGGAGCATTTTTCTGCCACACCTGCCACTGGTATGTCATTTATCATGAAAGAAGATACTGAAAAGAAAATACAAGACCATTATGGCACTACCCTGAGTGGGGTGAAGAGACTGCAGCTGTTGCACCATCCCTTAGAAAAGTGCAGCATGCACTCCCGTTTGCAGCTGGCTTGTGCAGATGGATAGCAAAGCCAAGTCCCTGTTTCCTTATTGCCTTATTAGAGACAAGGTGGGTAAGGTAATATCTTAGTTGGTCCAATACAAGTTATTACTTCACCCACCTCGTCTCTCTTATACCCTGGGACTGACACCACTACAACTACAGTGCATCAAACAATTATTAGACTAATACTCACAGAGGTGTTAGGCCCAGCACTAAAGGGAGACAAAGATTGAAATTATGGCTGGGTACCACAAAGGGGCTAGCCAAATTTGTCACAAAATAATTATGCTTGAAAAATCCAAAGAAATAATTAAATGCTCCATTTCCCCTTCCCTTTGGGCATTCAACTCTATACTTTACAGCAATGGGTAAAAGGGAATCCCAAAACTATTCTAAACAGTAAAAGGTAAAGGCCCAAACTCCCATTGACTTTAATGAGAGCAAGACAGGGCCCTTAATGCTATTACTCATTTCAGTATGAAATGCCCTAAATTACCTCCTTTCCTTGGTCTAGTGCTTTCAAGTGCCTATGAATGGCACTTAATGAAAGAGAAAACATCTGAGTCTAAATTTATACAGAAACTATTAAGAAATTAAGCTGACACAGTAAGTTATGCTGATTTAGCCTGTGGTGTGACTTAGATTTATATAGAGAATTCTACATTCTGCATCTGTTCAACCTGATGTCAGTCTCTCTTTCTGTTTTGAGGATGGTAACCTCAATATATCTCTATTGTGCAGGACACAATGCATTGTGCTTTGCTTTAACATACTCTACATTCTTTTGGAGCATGTTGCCTTTTCATTTCTCTTCCCTTCGCATAATCTCCATAGAACCCCACACATCTTCCTTGGCTCCCTCCTCTCTATCTCTGGGTGACTTCATCTGCTGGTGACCTGATGGTTTCGATTACCATCTTCATGCCAGTGAATCACAGACCTACATTCCTACTTCTGACCAATCTCTCTCCATCCAAACTTACATCTGAGCCAGTCTCTCCTGGATATCTCACCACCATCTTCATAATTGGCTCTACTTTTCAATCTCAGCAGAAAGGCTGAAGACAGAGACTAGAGTATGTTTTTCCTTGGAAATGGTCCAACCAGAACAGAGCTGAAGTACACCAGTGGGTCAGTTTGCACTGCCTACACTTTAGTTTTTCTATGGCAGAACTTCATTCTCAAGAACGGACAAACACCTCCTATAGTAAAAGTACCACATTCTTTTAATTTATTTTAGGTGAGTGTGGGTGAAGTGATTTGCATGTTATAATTCCAGGAATGTGACCTCTTTATTTATTTAGTGTGTTCTACTCTGTTTTTTGCTCTGTGCCTCAGTGGCTGTGTTCTGTACTTTTATTGAGGTCTGTATAGCTCCCATTAGCATTAATAGGATTTATGTGCATGAATCAACAGGAATATATATATATAAAAGCCATTTGTTCTGTTGTTTAAAAGATACAATGCCCCACTGTACATTTATTCTTTGATATACTGAAAAGCACAATCAATGGTTAATCTCTTCATATCAGGAGTCACTTCAGCCCACAGTATCCACTATGAATTGCTGATGCTCTGGAACTTCTACTCCAAGGAATTAGTGGTATCTCATAAATCTGCTCAATACCTGACAGTAGGAGATACACTTTCAAAGCTGAGGGCAGGAGGATAGTGCCCAAATACACTATCAGATAAGTTGGCACCATATCAAGAGTATCAAAACATACCTTTAACTTCAAAAACTTTATCACAGGCAGCTATTTTCTCAGACAGATGCTATGGAGGCTATGTCAACCCTACAGCCAGGGCCGACGAGGGGGGGGGGAAGCCGGTACAAATTACCGGGGCCTGGCGGTCCCCCCCTCTCATCGGCCCTGTTTAGCCGGTCCGCCCTTGCTGTGGGGCCCGAAAAAATTTTTTCACCGGGGCCCGAACCCGCTCTCGGCGGCCCTGCCTACAGCTTATGTTGGCATAACTGATGTCGCTCAGGGCTGTGAATAAACCGCCTCCCCGTGTGACATAAGTGCCAGTGTGGACAGTGCTATGTCAGTGGGAGAGCCTATCCCACCAACACAGCTATCGCTTCTCGTGGGAGCTGGAGTAGTTAAGCTGATGGGAGAACTCTCTCCTGTTGGCTTAGAGCGGCTACATAGAGAGCTTATAGCGGTGGTACTGCCACTGTAAACTCTCTAGGCCATGTCTATATGTACAGCGCTGCAGTGGTGCAGCTGTGCCGCTGCAGTGCGTCTGGTGAAGATGCTCTATGCCAACAGGAGAGAGGTCTCCCATCGGCATAAAAGTAAAGAACCTCCATGAATGGCAGAAATTATGTCAGCTGGAGAAGCTCTCCTGCCAACATAGCGCTGTGCACATGAGCACTTATGCAAATGTAACTTATGTCGCTCA